AGTTGCTTATAAAATTAATTTAATTAAGTTAAAATTTGCATGAATAAAATTAATTCAGTTAAAGATAAGTTAAGATTAAATTAACTGAAGTTAAATTAAAAGTTAATTTTTAAAAACATCATCTTTTTCAACTTTTATAAAAAAACAATAATGGTATTCAGAGATTTAAAAAATTTAACTTAGGAAAAAAGTTAATAAGTCTAAGATCAAAAATAATAAGTTGAAAAATAATAAGTTAAAAATTAATATATTTTAAATTAATATATTTTAATTAAGCTAACTTAAAAGTTATTAACTTTTTAACTTTTTTCATTTTTAACTAATTAACTTTTTATTACCCAACTCTGGTAATTTGCAATAATATTGCAATACACGCATTGCAGAGGAAAAATGATAATTGTCAAGATTAATCATATATGTTAAGAATATAATAAATAAAAAAGTAATAAATTAATTATTAAATCAATAATTAATTAATAAAATAATTAAATATATAATTTTATACGTGCAAAATATTAGTTGGCAAAAACATTCGTTACTTATACATATTTACTAATTACATTTGTAAGATATTTTCATTCAAAAGATCTCTCTCTCTCTCTCTCTCTCTCTCTCTCCTTATCATTTTGCTTTATTAATGTCTATAAGTTTGCCGGGAGTTTGACAGACAATAAGCAAAAATCCACTTTGCTGAATCAGTCGAGACGGTTAAAAATACGGTCTCGGTTCTTGGCAGGAAGAGCCTGAGAACGTAACATTTTGTCGATGATATTCGCGGTATATAGAAAAAGAAAGAAAGAGACAGAAGAAATGTAGCGGAGGTTCCCCGTCGCCTTCGCGCAATTACGTCCAATTGAAGCAATTTAGACCAATTGAGCGTTAACAGGCTCAATTGGCGGGTCCCGACGCTGCGGGCAACATCGTGCGTTCGTCGTTAAACGCTCGACATATCTAAGTACGACGTAGAAAAAAAGCAAGAAAAAATACAAATGACATGCAGAGAAAAAAAGAAGACCGCGACGTTCGAAAGTTGAAAGGTCTCGTGCACATCCGCGTCTTTATATCTCTGTCTTTCATATTTCATGATGTATTTTCTTTCGCGAAAAAAATAATAGTAGCTCGATCTTTAATATATATATATATATATATATATATATATATACTGAGAAATCTTATGTAATTCACAAGAATTCTGTATCCGTCTTTGAAATATAGTAATCAATTATGACGATCATAAGATTCGTATCAAACAATTTTTATTGGGATTGTAAAGTTTTACTTTTGAATTATGCGATAAAATATTTTAAGACATTTATTCAATAACTAATTTCCACAATCAGTCTATTTTGTATGTCATACTTCAAAATAAATATTTTTAAATTATTATAAGTGTTGAAGATATATGTATATTATAGATTTTTCCAGCGTTTTGCACGCTTATGTATAGATACGATAAGATTTATATGCAAGAAAATTATACAGCAGCACAGTAAGTAAATGCAAAATATTTTAAGTTGCAAAACAAATTTTTAAATAAAATCTATAAATATTTTATATAAAACATGACTAATTAAAAGAGTTTAGAGTGATCATGCAAAAAATGTAACTTATTTAAAAAAAATTTGTACGTTTTGGCCTACATTATATATAAGGTCATCTTCAGCAATAGAAAACCACTAATTTTTCACTAAAATTTCTAAATTTAATTGCGATAGACTACAACGTGTAAAAGAATTTTGTAGAAAATTTACGTACGTTAAAGATGATAATCCGCAATTAAATTAAGAATTTCTTGTAGCGAAGAATTTATTTTTTGTTTTGCTGAAGATGTTCTGATACAGATCGAAACATACAAATTTTTTTTTCAATAAAGTTACATTTTTTTGCACGGCTACCCAGCGTTGGCTCTTTTTTATTAGGCATTTTAATTTCTATTTACTTATGTTAATTTAATTATGTAAAATATACAAAATCTGGTTTTTTAGTTGAACTATTTCTGAACTGTCTTTAAATTGTCATCTCTTCAAACTTTTGATTATATATGTATTTGTTTTATTTTAAATGCAAAAACGCACTTATACGTATATATAAAAAAACGCAACTTGGAAAAAAATAGTTCTTTGAAATAATTTATATATTCGTAATAACTCTTGAATAAAAATAATGAAAAAATAACGGAAGTGAAGAGGTGGAGTTGCTGAAGAGACCGAGTCTGTCCTGTGTAGAGGGGCAACAACGTATCACACTCATCTTCTCTCTCTTCTCTCATCTCCCTTCAGATATCGTCCAACCACATGGTAGATGAAGGTGGGGAAACAATCAACTTCCTCTCACGCATTTCTCTTCGCTTTTTCTCGTGTGACGTTTATTTTCGTCGAGAATCTCCATGTATAGGTATAACACAAACGAAAATCTCAAAAACCTCAGAAATGCATATTTCTTTTAGAAAGATAATAATTAAAAGTTATTTTTTAAAAAAGTATTAATAAGATTTTGAAATATATTTTTTTAAATGCTCTCAAATTCTCTATTTTAAATTTCAATTTCAAATTTTTTAAATACACTTTTCTTTATACAAACTTCTCCAATTACAAGTTTTTACTTCGAACAAATCGACGACGCTCTCTAAATTCGACGCACTGTGCTTGTCGCGCTCACTTCCGGTGGCTCGTGGCGAGATGGCGGATAATCATGAGACGAAGAGCAGACCAAGAGAGAGAGAAGAGAGAGAGAGAGAGAGAGATTGATCACTTCCGTTCCGCGGATTTTCTTCCTCTTTTGGGTCTTTCCTTCGAGGCTGAGTTCGAGACACCTTAGTCCTTAACGACGATACGGAATGGCGCACCGTGCCTTATTGTAGGTCATGTTTACCTCGCGAGACGACAAGATGGAGGACGTGCGAGAGCTATAGGATGCCAGAGAAAGTCGCGGACGCGGAGGGTCAGTGCAGGAGGCTGCGTTACACTGCAGCCCGGCGCTCACCGGACCTTCACTTATATCGTCGCTCGACTAATAACGCTAGTAATGTGATATGATTAGCTTAGTTGAGTTCAGTTTAGTTCGTATTCGTTCAATTTAGTGGTTCGCCAGCAAAATCACATCGAGTTAAACCCATTTAGGCCAGTTAAGTTACCGACTTCTCCTCGTTCTCTTGCGGCCGTCGTCGCCGCAACCGCTGCCGGACCGATCTCCTGGGGCCCCGACAACGTCCTCGACACGTCCCAGGAAATGTCCGGGGCCCGCGTGAGATGGTAGCCCCCGCAGCCGCGAAATTGGAAATTGAATCGCCGCGGGAGACCGTCGAGACACCTCGTTCACTCATTCATTACGTCGCGTCTGATGTCCAATTGAGGTCTCGAGGAAACCCCTCAAAGTGTGAAGCTGAACTTGAAACTTGCTTTAGAAAGAGTGTCTTATACTTTTATAATTTCTATAGCAAGTTTCAAAGTAAATAGGGAGTGCATTATTTGAAATGACTTCCCAAAGCACCATATCCAAAATTAGTGCATATAAGATATCTTAAGAATTCTTATAATATAATATCCCAAAGACATCCTACAAATATCTTAAAGATGTTTTATGCACTATGCAATTTTGGACATGGTGCTGTCTGGGTTTAAATATTTTATTCCAAAAATAAGAATCTCTTAAAATTATTTTGATCCTTATGTGTTTCAAATACATTTAATGTATTTGTATAATCTCTTATCTTCAATACCGAAATCGTGAAAACAAGAAGAGCGAGTAGATGTATAGAGGGTAAGTTCGATTAGGTGGTTTAGGCATTTTAGATTGTGTGATAAACGACTGTCGCATTTATCGTGTTAAAATGATGGAATAATGGAATGAATACACGATGACGCAGTAACCCGCATTATCGCACCTTTACCCCAAAAGTCCTATATTAATTATCATATTCCCCATAATCGTGGCACCTCTCTCCTACAGAGTCTCTGCCACAATAAAAAGAAACGAGCAATAGATTTCGTTAATCGAAAAATGAAAATATTATAATAAAATAAATTATAATATAATACAATAATTAGCTAATCAAGATATACAGAATGTTTACGAAATACTTGGACAAACTTCTAGGCTAGGATTTTTAGGATAAGACGAAATAAGATTGTGTAGAATCATTTCAAAGTTTCCTAATCGATTTCGTATATAACAAACATTTAATAATAGCAATTTTTCGTTATCAATAGATTGCATAGATATCTTAAATGTCTTTATATATAAAAATGTGGCTATATCTTCAATGAAATAATCATTTGGATTTCTTATAAGTTAAAAATTAATTATTTAATAATAACGTTAACATAAACTTTGTTTTATTATAACTTCACGACTACTTATTTTTTACTTCAAGTATACAGAGTGTCCCGTAAAAACTGAATCAACGTGTAAGGATAGATTCCTAAGATCATTTGAAGATTTCTTCCTCAGCAAAAATGTTGAGGGAGGTTACGTTATGCAAAAGTCATCATTTTTTTGCATATTCCTAATTTTTATTATCATGTATCTTTATAACTAAGTCTTAAATTAAACGTTAATTCAGTTTATATGGGACATCCTGTGTATGTCTAATAACACATAATAATTATTTCAAGGTAATAATGATAAAAAACGTAAAGATGAAGCCTGAGAAGAAATATGTAAAATTTTTACTTCCGAATAATTCATAATGATAATTTATAATGATAATTCATAATGAAACGTAAGAGTAAACGAATATGAGGCAAAGGTAAGATGATGCCGAAGAGACGATTAAGGTCGATCGGGAGCGGCGGATGATCATCAGGTCGGGGAGATTCAGCGCGAAAGAGGCGCGAAGAAATCGGAGCGCATAGAAGAGACGCGCGTTAATTACCCCAACGACGAAAATTAGCGGTTAATATACGCGCGTGTACGCATACGGGGAACGGGGGGGTAGTTTGATTGGGCCAATTCGAGGCAATTCCTGGCGATTGCTGATTTCATTGAGCTTGCGCTTAAGAGTGCCTTGGCTCAGTGCCACGGCAACTGTCGAAGTCAACAGACATGGATCTCTTCTTCGAAGGTACATCGCGTATCGATCGATTTCGTTCGGTGTTAACGTGCGGTGCCTCTTGTTTGCGACGACTTCGATCTTCTTTCCTTCATTGGATTACGTCTGTTAGAGAGAAGAAGAGAGAAGAGTCGTCTGTTGTTGTGTGCAAACGCAAATTGTGTGCGAGACTTTTGAGTCTGTTGGATATCAAAATTAAATAAAGAAAAAATGAAGAGAGAATGAGAAGCAAAGAGATGAACATGGAAGACTAGGATATTTTCTTTATTTCAATAATAGGTTATATTCAATCTCGGGAGATTTGCACATTCTTGGTATCATTGTGTTATATCTGAAAATTTTGTAACGCTTAGAAAAATGTACGCAACAAGGAAGAAAAGCAAAAAGGATTATTACAATGAGTTAAAGGTAATCATATGTCTATTGACAATGAGTTTGTTTGTTTTATTTGCATTGCTGCCCTGGTGCAATAAGTTAACTCTAACTTCTTTATTTTTTCACTCGAAAAAATATACATTTATCTCATTCTAACTTATTGCACCAATGCAGCAGTGCAGCTAAAATAAACAAACCCAATACGTTTTTGTTTAAAAACCGAACAGCTAGTACAATATGGCTACCATCCCTAAATCCCCACCACTATTTGTATCTTGCGTTACTTTTTCGAGTCATTTTGTACACCTATAAGCAGTCTAGTGTTATATACAGAAGTCTGTGATATAATGTTACAAATCAAATTCTTTTCACCTTTAAAATAAATCTCTGCCGGAAATTTGCTTTATATAGGAAACACGTTTTTTTCTCATAATTCTTCAAAGTACATTTTATAACCTTTACATTTTACATATTTCTTTTTATTCCTTAATTCATTCTGAATTTCTATTTCTAGAGTGAGAAATAAACTCGTCGATTCCTACACAGAAAGATTCCTGACTTCTCTTCATTCTTCTATTCTCACGAGCCTGTTGGTTAACCCTATATGTTCGCACCCCCAATATGGAAAGAAGGGGGGATGATACACACATCCACCCCAGTCATTTGCACCAGCGCCTTTTTTTGCGCGCAGGTCGAAGAGGGGGCCATCGCGCTTGCGGGGGCCCATGGTGGCAGAGGGAGTCGGGGGAGGACGGAGGGGAGCCGAGAGAACGATGGCGGTGGACCGCAAGGGTCAGCATCATCGCGCCAGCACGAAGACAGGATTGGTCGGGCCCCGGGTGTGGGGGCGACCTGGGCCGGCGTGCCTCGGAAAATATAAGCCTGTGTGAGTGGTGGCTGATTAGCCAGAGGCTCAGAGAGGACGGAGAGTAGCGGCGAGAGTGTTCCGAGGCACAGAGAGAAGAGAGGACGGACGATTTCTCTTCTCTCGTATATCGGGGAAGATATACGCGGTGGCGTCGCCGTGTGTTCGGTTCCAATCCAGTCTTCCAAGGTCTTCCGCCTCGTATATAATAATCGGCCGGCGCGTCCGCGCGGAGCGAGTTAACGCCGCTTAAAACTAATCAAAATTAATCATAACCCGGGCAACAATTGATCGCAATTGCCGCGTGCAGGTCGCGCTCCATTACGAGCAATCGGCTGCAACGTTGTGTGCTTCCTTCTTTTTTTTCCTTCCATTGGCAGAGGAAGCGGGAAGAGATCATGAAAGATCATCTCCTCGCGAGATGATGAGCGCGATCGATACCGAGGTGTGAATACCGATCCTCTCTCATCCGCGACATCTCTGTTCTTCGGATTTTTATTTCATCAACTCGATCGGAACATCCCTAACACCGATTATTAAAAAAAATACTTTACGTGAAGAGTCGAGAGATTTTTCAAGATGGACGGCGCTCCTTCCTGGGACGATCCGATCTTTTCGGATTTTGGGACGCGCGGCGGTACTTCCGGAGCCCACAGCATCCAGGTGATGCTGAGCTTGCACGGCAGCCATCACGGAAGTGGTGACCTGTTGCCGACTGGCGGCGGCCAACTTCACAAGCTGGATTCATCGAACAGCCCGTCGCCGCATCATCAAGCCGCGTCGCAGCATCAGCATCACCTGCAGCAACAGCAAAAGGAGCTTAAGGAACTCGAGCTGTCCAATATGTACGCGTCTTTACCGCCGCAGACCCAGGACGTCACAACTTCAACGTCCACCAGTGTAACGCCGACTTCGACGAGTCTGCAACAAGGTTTGCAACTCGGGAACGCGCTCAAGAGGAAGCCGGATGATCCCATCAATGCGCTCGCGCCAGGTAACTAATTGAATTTACCGAGATCTTCTACGGAGTTTTTAAACTTTTTCACATTTATAAATATTTGCCTCTCTTTTGAAGAATACGCTATCTTCTCTTTTTTCCAGTATATTATATATTAATATTTGTAGGAATTTATTTATTTATTTAATTATAATAATTTAAACCAGACACAGCATCATGTCCAAAATTGATGCATAAAACATCTTTAAAGATCTTTAAAGAGATTCTTGACGATTGTCTGTTTTATTGATCAGTTATTATTTTCGTACTTCTAATCTTTTGTCGAATTAATTTGACAGAATTAAAAATGCTTCTCTATGATTGCAATACATTTATCAATGATCCCAGGGAAGTTCGATTTTATGAAAAACGAGATCTAATTACGAAATTACAGTTTTCCTTACCTACTTTTGTCTTTATGACGTCTCTAATGACAAACGAGCTGTCAACTCATCATATTATGTGCTTTATATAAAAAAATATACATTTTGTATGAATATAAACACAAGATCCCTGGGATTAAAATATCTGAAAATAAGCATTGTTATCCTCTAAATTTAGGTTAGAAGTCTAATATAAAAGTATAGTTTGTATTACGATTCGTGCGTATGTGTGCGTGCGTTATAGATATAATAGAGCGAAAAACAGTAATACATATTTACGTTCAAACCTATAATAGTTTTAAATGTAGCAAAAAGTGACTCTATGTTTGCCATGTATACATGGATTTCTAATACATATTTAATCTGAATAAATTGTAATATGAAATCCAAAATATTAGTAATTATTCTTCGAAAATTAGTCGGTAATTATCGATATTTTTAATTCCAAAATGAGGGTGTTACTATTTTGTCAGAGTTTGTCGTTCGCTGAGAGATTATTCCCTTAAACTTCTTTCACATTTATAAATATTTGTCTCTCTCTTCCCATTTCCTCTTTTTCCTCATCCTTTTTATCCTTCTTGTCTTTCTTTAACCGCTTTCTTCGCTTTCTCTTGCCACAATCCTTTTCTAAATAACTTCGTATGAGATATAGTTCAAATCTGGAACTTTCGTCTAATAGTCCGCGATTTTCCACGCGAAGTCACTTGTCACTCCTAATTTTTTATAATTTAATAATTTATAATTTATATAACATACACCCTAGAAGTTTGCTCAAGTACTTTGTAAACACATCCTGTACATAAAAATTGTATAATTTATACAGGTACATGTCTCGTACCTAGCACTGATATACAGTTAGATTCCTGACGTCATTTCGAGATGATTTTTCTTCTGCGAAAATGTCGAGGCACCAATGTCAATAATTTTCAAATTATAAGCAATTGAAAATAAAGGGGTTTTTCGTAAAATTAAGTCTTGTGGAAATAAAATATTAACAAAATCACATTTTTCAGTTAATTTTAAGTGGAGTTTGCTTTAATAGAATTTTAATTAATATAAAGTCTTAGTTATAAAGATACATGATGACAAAAATTGCGCCTGCTATGATGACCTCCTTCTCGACATTTTCGCTAAGGAAAAATCGTTTTCAAATGATATTAAGAATAACTGTGTATATCAGTGATTCATCCTACAGAGTACGGGACACCCTGCATATAATTTATATAATTTGAAAAAATTATCTCATAACCGATATTATTTTATTATCTGTAAATTGCAATTTTTCAATTGACGAATAAATATTGCAGTTAGCAGCGAAACACAGCCAACCAAAAAAGATTCGAAGAAGAAGACTGACAATAATAACATCAAAAAGAAAAAGACGAGGTATTTGTACATTATTTTTATAACGAAATATTCTTTTACACATTTTGTTATGTTTATAAATATATATCTATTTTTTTATACATCTTTATCCTTTCATATATTAATCCAAATAGTACATAATAATTATAAAATATTTATCGAATATTTATAGAATATTTATAATAATTATTTTAATATTTTATAAATATTTATCATAAATATTTTATAAATGTTTTTGGAGTCTTAGCTTCAATAGATTATAAATATTTATCATAAATATCAGAAAATATTTACGATAAATATTATGGTAAATATTATAAATATATTTATTAAATCATTATGATATATATTTTAAAAAAATTATATTTTCTTTAATAAATATTCAATAAGAAATTATGAGTTAAAAAGATACAATCAACAATTTTTAATCAAAACGATCGATTAATATAGTTTAATCTAAAATTTGGTCGATTAGATGTTTTTTTGTATTTTTCAAACTCTATTAGCCATTTATAAAAATTTAAAAATGTGTAAAAAATGTTTATAAGTAACTTATTAGATATTTAATAACTAGTAACTCATTAAACATTTAATAGTCAACATTTTAATTCGTTTAATACTTATTCATTAAACATAAATTTATTTGTTAAAAGACATTCTGTTGCAGAATGTAGCTCAAAAATAGAAATAATTTTATAACATTTTTAATTTCATTAATTTCCGTTTTGCCAGCTTTATATAATTCTCACGACGAAAATCAAATACGAGAAAGATACGTCACATAGCGGTAAATGAAAGAACTAACAATTTAGTTAAAAAATATTTACAAAATTATTACTATAAATATTCATCTTTACATACCATAAATATTATATGAAATATTTAATTTATGTTTTACTAATATGTTAAATAAAGGTTTTTATAAAACATTTTTAAAATATTTAAAATATAATATTTGAAAAAATACATATTTATAAATATTTATGAATTTTTATCATAAATATTGTGTGCTGTCTGGGAATATTTTTTATATTTATATATTTGTGGTGAAATTATAGCTGTAAGCTGATATTTCTCTGTTTCTTTCTCTCGTTCTTCAATTTTCTAATTTGTAAATTTCTAAATATATGTATAAAATTATTATTAAATATATATATATATATATATATATATATAAATATATATATATATATATTGTATATATATAAAGATATGTATATGTAATATATTATTATTAAATATATGTATAGAATTTGTATAACTCATCCTTGACTTTTTGTTTTAGGACGACTTTCACGGCTTATCAACTTGAAGAGCTCGAAAGAGCGTTCGAGAGGGCACCTTATCCAGACGTCTTTGCGCGCGACGAACTCGCGTTGAAGCTCGCGCTTTCTGAAACCCGAGTTCAGGTGTGGTTCCAAAATCGTCGTGCAAAGTGGCGAAAGAAGGAACCGCCGCGCAAGACTGCCGGTTACATGGCCGCGAGTTCTGCCAGTCCCGGATTATCAGGTAAAAAAGATTGTAGCCTATCAGTTTTGTACTTAGATGATTTTAAAATTAGCTAGATAAATAGATATAAGAAGCTAGATAAAATGAAAATAGGTAAATTCTTCTTATTGTCAGATAAAATAAAGATAATTTTGTTTTAAATATATCTATAAGATAATCTAGAAGATAAAAGATAAAATATAGCGATTCACATCTAAACAACCAGATAATAATCAAATAAATTCCAGATAATATATTATTTTTAAGGGAATGCTGACTAGATCTGTTTTATTGACAAATATTTTTATTCAATTTTTTATTGGTTATACAGTATACAGAATGAAAAATTCTTTACTAGAATTGAAGTATTCATAATAACAAATCTGGGCTACTACATATGTATATAAAAAAGAAATAAGAAAGCTAAATAATTACAGTCAACTTAACCTAAACGATAAGAAAACTGTAATTATTTAACTTTCTTGGTTTCTTTTTATATACACATATAGTAGCCATATAGTAGATTTGTTATTATGAATACTTTAATTCTAGTAAAGAATTTTTCATTCTGTATATAATCAATAAAGAATTAAATGAAAATAATATTTGTCGATAAAACAGACATAATTAGCATGTAAACAGTTATAAAAAAATATATTTATAAAAATAAATAGATATAAAAATATATTTATACCTTTATTTTCAGGCTCCTTCACGTCACTTAACAACACTCTAAATCCATTCGCATCCCCAACGACGGCGACGGCGCCGCCGGACGCGTGGGCCTACTCGCCAGCGGCGTACGATTTAGCACCCCATTTGAATCTACTGAGCCCGTCTAACTCGCCGTACTCAACCGCGGCGGCAGCGGCGGCGGCTGCGGGCTTCGGAAACAACGGCAACGTCTCGTACTCGTCGTACACGAGCATGCTACCGACGCAGCATGATGCTTCATTGTTCTCCACCCCGGCCGCGGCCGGCAACACCATGCGCGTCCACCAGGACTACATGAACCCCGGTGGTGGCAACAGTCCGCCACCGCCGCCCGGTCCTCTAACTCGTGCCGACTACCAGACCATGGTGACGGCGACGCACTCGCCGCCCACACACTTGGGTAGCTCCATGTCCGAGGACGAGCACGGCGGCTGCCTCGCGGATAAGTACGCCCACGAGCAAACGGCGGCCGATTACGGCCAACAGCAGCAACAGCCGCCGCAGCCAGATCAGAAGCAGGACTACGGCATGCACTCGCCGCAGACGCGCCAGACTATAAAGGACGGCCAGGTTTTGGTCAAAAGCGAGCCCGGCAATCAGCAGAGCTACGTGCAGCTGCCTCCTTTTCTGAACTGACTCGCGGCCTCCTCCGCTCTAGATCTCTTCTAGACGGCTTTCGCGATCTGCACGTGTTTCGCGGCGAGCGCGAGGAATATTAGATCCTGGATGGTATACGGGAAGCTTCACTAGCAAGAAAAGAAGTTCCTGTTAGAATACCCTGATAGCATGTACATCCGCACGGGTGATACCCAATTAAACACATTGTTTGTTGGTCAATTGAATATAGGACCTTCTGATTGATCATTTATGCTATAGTCACTTTAGACACCATCGATATGAGTGGTTGTATCTAATTTATTATATCTAAATGGGTCTTTGTCTATCCATAGATGTTGACCAGTATTTTAACCGGTGCTAACACACTTGATCAATCGGAAAATTTGGGGAGACTAATCAGAATCTAATCAGAGGGTGTTCAACTGATCAATTAGCAATGTAAGGGCTTGAGCAGAATACCTCACTTATAACTTTAAGACAATGTTTCATGTTTTAATCTTTATCTTGTAGTAACGCACAATACTGTCTTTTGTCTCAAATCTTATAAGTCTACCATTTTGCTCAGGTCCTATAAGTTATCGTAGCTTTTCAGAAGGAAACGTACACATAATTGGTTATCAAATAGACAAAATATCCCGCACTAATTTCATGTAAAATGGATTTCAGTTAAATCAGCTGGTTTTTGTATGTTGTAGCTTATGACCTACTGAACAAAAGATGTAATAGCTTTAAAGCTAAATAATGGGCAGTTACTGAACTACAGTCAGTTAAACTATTCGCAGAATCTGAGTTTTCGTGTTTAATAGACTGTAAATAAGTGACTGTTTATTATTTAGCTTTGAGTCTATATTTTTTGTTCAGCAGGTCATAAAAACTATAATATATGAGAAAACCATTAGATTTTGCTAAGATTCAATTTTATGTAGGATTAATATAGAATTTTTGAATTTATATGAAATCCGAGATGAAATTGAGTTTCAAATAAAATAATAATTGAATAAAATCAGCTAATTTTCTTATATATTGTAGCTTATAATCTACTAAACAAAAATGTAATAGGCTGAATAATCAATAGTTACTGATATTTTTTGTTCAGCAGCCATCATAAATTACAATATATGAGAAATCAGCTGATTTTACCGAAATCCATTTCACATAAGATTAGCGCGGAGTATTTTTCGGGATTTTAAAAAATAACCAATTGCATTGTGTCTACTTAGATTTTCTTACTGAAAAGCTTTCATGATCGATTATACTTGTACTTTTGATTTAGATAACTTTTCAAGAAGAAACACATAAACACAATGCCACAGCTGGTTATCAAACAGAACAATTTAAAAATTTTTTATACAAAGCCAATTGCGTTTATCTGTTCTCTTGCTAGAAAGTTCTCTTTATTTAAATCGTAGTACTTTTTGAATTGAACTTTCGAAAATATAAAAGATCGTGTTAGGCGAAGCGTTGAAAATAATATTTAAATAAAAAAGCGTTCGTTAAGTCGATATTGCAACATTCCAAGTAACAAACTAACGTTTATCAAAATAACGTCATTTTGACATCAAATGACGTTATTAAACGTCAGAATGAAATCAATGACGTTTAATAATGATGTCAATGACATTTTATGACGTCAGTTTGTTACTTGAGATGTATAATCCAGGTAGCAGTAAATAGTCATTTTGACGTCATTAGACATCAAAATGATGTTATTAGACGTCAGTTTGCCACCTGGAATATTTCGATGGAAATATCATCATGACATATAATCCAGGATCATCGCTCGCGTTAAAAACACGCGCGACATTTTTGTACTTGTTTTGCTTGTGAGTGATCGCGAGAAATTGCGTCGCGTCGCTTTACGCGTAAAAATAGTAGTCGATCAAACACATATTAAACGTAAGAAAAGAAGAATATAAAGTATCATCCTAGGATATGTGTAAAATATTGTTCTTATTTAACGGAAGGAGGAATTTATGAAAATTATATACTTTATTTTCATATTGCTCTCTCACTAATTTCTCGTTCTAATTCGCGCAAATTCGAAACTAACTACCTGAAAATTGGAACTGTGAAATAGGATGAATTCATTTCGAACGCGCGTGGTGATTATTTACATATAAAAAAATAGAATAATAAAAAATATAATTAAGATAGAGAAAGCCTTTTAAGATAGAAAGAAGCCTTTGAGCGACATCTCGCGGCGATTATCAACATTTATAATTTAATCATCCGTTTCTCTCGATCGTCGATAAAAAATATATTGAGAATATATAATCTTACTATAGAATGATTATTCTCTCTTTCAGAAAAAATATTTTTCTGAATCTGTTTCTTCGACTAACGAGAGAAAAATAAACCAAAAACGTATTATTAGACTTGTAATATTATTAATTCAACATGCGATATTTTCTGTACCTTGAATAACCTATGCCTTATGCAGTGCCTTTGTATTAGAAAAAAGTGGATCTTAATCGAAATAATCTCGCTTTGTATCTTGCAATACTCAATTTCTATGTAAAACTGATTTGTAATAAATCAAGAGTGATATTGAAATATCATTCGTGTGAAAAAAATTTCTAATCGAATGACAGAATCCAATTAATCTTGCCTTACACATAATTTATTCACAATATTCAATCTTCATAAAAAGCTTTTGTAATGAGTAAATAGCAATTATATAAATATTTTCATATCAGTTTGTCACATCTTATAGCATTTCGTTTACTTTGTTTGAATTGAGTTACTGTATTTTTATATTTATTATATATGTATATAAAAGTTTTAATAGTTAATTGTTTTGAAAATATCAATGAAATAAATTTATGTTAATACATAACAATAATTCCATGAATTAAAATTATATCGCGACATAATAATAATTCCGAATTTTTATTATGTCTCGACATAATTTTAATTCATCAAATTATTTTTATATCGCGATATAATTTTAATTTATTGAATTATTATGTCGCCACATAATAAAAATTCGATGAATTAAAATTATGTTGAGATATAAAAATTAGGAATTATTTTTATACCCAGATATAATTTTAATTCATCGAATTTTTATTAATCGCAACATAATAATAGATCAAGAATTAAAATTATGTCATAACACGATAAAAATTCAATGAAATAATTCAAAAGTGTGAGAAAAGGGCACAGAGCTGCAGCAGGATTTTCGTGCTGTATATTCTTATTTATTAAACAAACTTAGACGTTTCGGTCTATTTTAGACCATCTTCAGTATACAGGTATTTAGTTTAAAATAAAAGTTTAAAATTGAGTCTTTGCATTAAACGTGATATAATAACACAAGAAAATTATTTTAATTAATCGCATCGTATGTCACTAGTATAAAAAATCGCACGTATTGAGATATTTAAACCCGTCGCACATATTAAGGTATTAAAACATCGGAATACATCAAAATTCGTTGTAATTAATAATCTGTCGTCCCAACCATATAAATAAATAAGTCGCAAGCATGCTGTAATAGTAAAAAAAAGAAATATTAATTAAAAGAAATATGTTTAAAACACCGAAGTCTGACAAAACGTATCTCAAATTAATTACAATATATATAAATTGTAATTACAATATATATAAAGCGCTTAAAGTCAGATCTGAGTTGAGTACGTATATTCTCGAGCAATAAAATTACTTGTGTTGTTGTGTGGCCGTGATAATAAACGTGTAAAACAAATGACAGAAAACAAATGAGATCCAAAGACGATGACAAACATTATATGTATATCACAGAGAGGACAGAAAAGAATAAGGATGGGGAATCACAAGGGGAGGTGGGAGGCGTGAAAGGATTAATACGAAGGAAATGTACTTATTATTAAAGGCAGATATTCGGACGATAATGAATTCAGTATCACTTTGTTTATCAATTTTTGTCTTTTGTTAATGAATTAAAATTATGTCAAAACATAATAAAAATTAGGAATTATTTTTATACCTAGACATAATTTTAATTCATCGAATTTTTATTATGTCGCGTCATAATAATAATTCAAGAATACAAATTATGTCATGACATGATAAAAATTCGTTGAATTAAAATTATGTTGAGATATAATAAAAATTCGGAATTATTATTATGTTGCGATATAATTTTAATTCATGGAATTATTATTATGTATTAACATAAATTTATTTCAAGTAAAAAGAAGTAATTTGCTAGTAAGACTAAAATCAAGGTTATTATTAAGAATTAAATGACTATACTGGATACAGCTAACCCTTTGAGTGTCAATGACGGAAAAATCCGCCAAAATAAAATTGGTCAAAAGTGCTTTATGATGGAAAAATCCGCATATTTCATAACGCCAATAAATCACTTTTGCAGTGCAGCAATTGAACTAATAATGCATGCTTTAATGTTTTTGAAGTCGCTGATTATAAGTTTGATGTCGGATTTTAGAAATTGAAGATTGCGGATAATATCCATCCAATATGGCGGATAATAATTCTTCAAAATTAGTATAGTTCAAAAGTTATTTTATTTTTCAAATACCGGTTCAATGTATCAAATAATACATTTTTTCATACTGAAAATCTAAAATTAAACCGATAATTAGCCATACAGGGAATTGAAAAAATGTTTAAGGAATTATTATCCGTCATTTTGAATTTTGTAATTCTGACCTTGGATTTATGATTTACACCACAAAAAACCTCGGAAAAGTGACTTACTTTATATTTCTAAATTTATGTCATTGATAGCATCCTTGGTATACAAGAGTTTGTCTTGCCTGATACTCAAGGGGTTAATGATGTTATTAATTTCATAAACAATGTTTCGACCCTAGAATTAGGTCCTCTTCAGGCTACAATAATAGAGACATGAAAAATAATATAAAATACAGACAGTACGGTAGGGCAATATACAATAAATAATAAAAATTGATTATATTATAAGATTATTAAAATGATATGTATGATAGAAACTTTTTCGGTCCAAAAGTCCCACCGTTATTTTGTTTTTTTTTTCGTGATTTAGTATTTAGAGTTTGTAGAGAAATAAAACTACACTTTTGATGGGAAAAAGTCTGCGCGGCATAAAAAACCCATTTATTGAAATAAATTCGCACGTATCGTATACGGATGTCGCTCGCCTTTCGTGCTCGGCATGAAGATCGGCCGGAACGACACCGTTGCAAGAAACGTATTCACTCTTGGAATTTTGCGAGTGATTATAGATTAATGTATAATACAAGAAACGTATGATATCAGATTACGCACTGATATATAAGAAACGTATATAAGAAACGTATAATATCAGATCACGCACTGATATACATATAAGTAGTGGTTGCTATCGCCACACAAAGAAAGAACGACTCGCACGTGTGCACACTTCTCGAATGAATCCTGCACGTATACGACACACATACACACCGTCGCGCGATTGTTTTTGATTGGCGCTGTCGCGCTAGCGGCCGAGAGAGCTATTTATCTATACGCTCATTAGTTACCGACCGTCTTATATTAGTACAGAACGAAACTCAAATAAAATAAATATTAAGAATCAATTAATACAAAGTTTCGCTCGTATATTGTAAATACAAAAAGTGATAAATAAAAAGGCCAACTTATCGAGCAATTATTAGAGTTGTTCTATCAAATAAAATTTATTCCATGTATAAACTAAACATAAAACATTATGTGAAAGCTACAAACATTCTATACTCAAACTTAAGCGAAAATTACAATCATTATAAAATAAACGTTTCAACCGCACGCGGTCTTTGTCAATATTATATTACAGTAATTATTAAAAAATACAAAATCATACAAAAATTCTACATAATATCGAAAATTAATGTTAGTTCTTCAATAAGAGTCGAGAATTTATAAGCAATTAAAGCGTGAAATTATTATTCTGGAAATTATCTTACTATAGAATCTTATTTTATTATAGCTTGAATATATATTATAGCTTGAATATATATTATAGCTTGAATTTCTTAGATTTATCACTTAAAATTATTAATAACACAATATACATTGATTGGTATCAAAAAGAAACCTTCTCAAGAAAGACTTTATCATTTTTTTCTAACCACCCATTATGCCATAAAATTGGAATAATATACAACTTTGTTGTTATCACACCCACAATTTTTTAATAAAAATTTGGAGTTAATCATTAATATACTCATAAGCAATAGTTACTCTCTTGACCTGATCTTTAACAAAATTAATCATCGGATAGAACACATGATATCTAAAAAAAGTATTATAAAAAGACAAATTAACATAGGAGGAACAGAAATTATAGAAAAGGAATCAGTTAATAAAAAATTCTTTGTCATTCCGTATATAAATAGGATCTCTGAAATGATTGTTTCCTCGGTAAAAAATACAGAGTGTATAGTAGGATACAGATATCTCAACAAACTTGATAATATTATTAAAAAATGGTAGTAATTTAATCGACCAACTCTGGCAAAATAAGTGATCTTTATTCAATATTCACAATGTTTCGGCCCTTATCAAGTGCTATATAATAATGACAATTATTAGAAAATTAAAAAATTAAAAAGTAACAATGTAACTATAATAAAACGATAAATATTTCCACACATTAATATGTAAACCTACCTAAAACACAACTTTTTTTAAAAAACCTTAATTTTTGATCTTAGAATGTGACAAGATAAAATACAATGATAATGTGAAACAATTAACTATATTATTGTGTCGGTTTCACGCTCTTTATATACTCATTACTTTGATCAAACTAAACGACCTTTATTAGTTTTTCGTAAACAATATTTAGATTATCCGTGTCTTTTTGTAAATTGATTGTGTTGTCAAATTTTTTGATAAAAAACATCTCCGCGATTTCTCGTTTTCGTACATATTTCTCATGATGTAAAATTTCAGGAGCGGACCAATCAAAATCATGACCATTATTCAATTTATGATTACTGATGACTGAATAATTACTATTGTGTACCTTAATGTTATTAAAATGTTCTTTTATACGTGTGCCTAATTGTCGTTTAGTCTGACCGATGTATGATGAGGAACAATTTGCGCAGTTAATTTTGTATACTACTCCTGTTTTTTTTTTAAAGGTAAAGGATCTTTGACACGTTTAATTAGTGTATTCAATTTTTTCGGTATACAATAAACGCTTTGCATGCCCATAGATTGTAATAATCTCAAAACGTCTTCACTTAGTTCTTTGACGTACGGTAATTTTATGATGCGGTCAAATTTTTCACTAACTAAATTATCGTTGTCAACATTGCGATCGTCGTTATTTCGTGTCTCAAGCAATTTTAGCCTATTTTTTACAAACTTATTAATCACATTCGACGGAAAACCATTGTTCATCAGTATCGATTTTACTTTAGCGATGTTTACTTGATGAAACCTGTCGTCCGATAATAAAATTGCATGATCGATAAGACTAAAAATAGTATTCTTTTTGTATTTAAAGGGATGATTAGAATAATAATTGATATATCTACCCGAACAAGTGGGTTTCATAAACCAATTAGTTAATAGAATACCATTTTTTCTGATCACAGTAGTGTTCAAAAAATTAATCGAGTCGTCA